CAAAAAAAAACCTACTGTTGTTACGAAAGATTTAAAAACAAAATATGAGAAAAGGTATGCATCAATTAACTGTACATTCTTTTTCTTCAACCAGAGACATGAATAATAGATGACATTGGGACTTACAGAAGCAGTATAATAAATGGAGGAATTTGTATTATAGTGGATAGCTTTAGTTATTCTATGGTTACCAGATGCTCCTTAATATAACTGGAGAGTTACCTATATTTAGGGGTAGAGGAAAAGGATGGGGGAAAGCTTTTTAATTTTCGTACTGTTTTAATAGGACGATAAATTAAAGAAATTGGTTGAACAACATGGAACTGATGATTGGACTCTAATTGCTAGTCATCTTCAAGTAAGTGAAATATTAAATTATATTTCTAACATGGCTGGTTTAAGGCATTGGGTTAAATTTGCTATTTTGCAAAAATGTGTCCACGTATTTTAATTTTAGGTTTCCTTCCTAAAAACATCCCTGTTTGTTTGGTCTGCCTATAGTTGGTTGCTAATGGCTTAGAGAGTCTGGTCTTTTAGTAATGTGTTTATCCAGGGGCCTAAAAAGATTATTAACTTAAAACAAAAATGGTAATAAATTTATGTGGGACCTTATAAATATTTGCTAATACACGTTAAAACATTCTGTGAGAAATATATTGAGATATTTGATAGCTAACCAAAAAATCCAGAAAAGCCCTATTTAAAAAAGCTTATCATCTGAGGCTTACCTTTTAAAATGTTGATTTTAAAAACTATTATGCCTATTGTTTACCATATTACTTACTATTCACCTGCTGTTCATTATATAGCTTTATAATTTATGAAGTATTTTCACATATACTCTTTTTTTTTTTTTTTGAGACGGAGTTTCGCTCTTGTTGCCCAGTCTGGAGAGCAATGGCATGATCTCGGCTCACTGCAGCCTCCGCCTCCCAGGTTCAAGCGATTCTCCTGCCTCAGCCTCCCGAGTAGCTGGGATTACAGGCCTTTGCCACCATGCCTGGCTAATTTTGTATTTTAGTAGAGATGGGGTTTCTCCATGTTGGTCAGGCTGGTCTCGAACTCCCAACCTCAGGTGATCTGCCCGCCTCGGCCTCCCAAAGTGCTGGGATTACAGGTGTGAGCCACTGTGCCCAGCCCTCACATATACTCTTATTTGTATCCTTAATACACTGTGAGTAGTGAGGGAAAATATACGTATTTGAATTTAAATATTGACTACTTTGGGTTTCATAAACCATGTTAACTATGTTTTTTCTATATTGTCATATGCCTTTCAACATAACCCAGAAATTGAGATCAAGTAATGTGAAAGAGCATCAATTTTGGAGTCAGTTTGAATTGTGTTCAAATGTCAGCTCTATGAGCGTAGAAAAATTACTTAGCCTCTTTGATTGTCACCTTCCTTATCTATAATATCTAGGTAATCATACTCGTTTCTGTAGTATGGTTGTATAGAACTAGAAATAACATATAGGATGTTTGGCACAATTCTTAATTTTTACCAGGTGTTCAATAAATGGAAGCTAGGTTAGAAAAGTTATTTACATTAGCATTAACAGAAATGCTACAAGGATATACAGGAGCAACCTGATTATTTTGAAGAAAGTATCAGCCTTAAAATGGATCAGCATTGGTGTACAGAAGCCATAAATGAAGCTGAGTTTGAATAAAAATAATTTTAAGTGCATTGGGCAAAAGAGCCATTGGTAGACAAAACATTTGTATCTGTCCCTTTATATGTTTCTAGATTATCTGTAATCTTATGAACTAACAATTTTGTAAACTGTGAATCACTAATAAAGTGTTAGGTGTCGGTGTCATTATCCTTGTAATATATAGGAGTTACCAGGTTCTGAACTGACTAAAATAAGGCTTCATTTATAATTTTTGGAGTTTGAGATGTTTCTACCCAGATACTGCATAGGTTTTCTTATTCTGGTGGATTCATTTTCTTTTTAAGTATGAACACTTAACCAATTTAATTGAAATGTAACATGCATCTTCTATATAGACTATGTAATGTTTTCTTAATAACTTGGAGTCATAATTTATAACATCCTTTTGATCCCATGAAGTAGTATAGTAAAGCCTTTACGTTTTTTTAAAACTGTATGGTTAGGTACCGCTGAACTACGTGAATCCAGACTGATAGGCTATTTGAGTTCTTTTTCTTTTTTTTTTTTTTTTTTTGAGACGGGAGTTTCGCTCTTGTTGCCCAGGTTGGAATGCAATGGTGCAATCTTGGCTCACCGCAACCTCCGCCTCCCAGGCTCAAGCGATTCTCCTGCCTCAGCCT